CACACTAGAGTGAAGTGACAGTGGTACAGGAGCGATAGGAGCAGCAGATACTGACACACAAGCCTAGAGCGCCCTCTCATGGCTGTCAGTGTGAACATTTTAATATATAAGTCAGACCGGAGTATAAGTCACAGGACCACCCAAACCATGAAAAAAGTGCAATTTATAGTCCGAAAAATACGGTAATAATTATCTAGAATGACATGTTTTTGTTTGGTCAGTGCACACATGCAGAGATTAGTGTGGTCAGATTGATATCTGGGTTTGACTAAAGACTGTACTTATAAATGGACATTGCTAACCTGCTACCTGTCGTGTTCCACATAGTAAGTGAACGTGGGTTGCTTTAGGCTTCATCGACTGTAGTTCCAATTTACTTTATATTGGAAAATGATTGCCTCTGTCTCTGTGACTGCTGCTGCCAGGCTCATCATTTTTGTCTTAAAATGTTCACATTAACCTGATCGACATGATTCTGGTATTTTTATTTTGCTTTAAATTTAGATATGAACATTAATAACAGACAAATCAGGTGCCTTCTTTTCCCAAAATTGCTCTCGCCAACGTTAGTAACAGGTCTGACTGGCAGCGTTGCTAAGCGCCCACTCCCTGCCAAACCAGCGGTGCGGGCAAGACGGGGCATTACCTTCAATAGCCTCACTCTGGATTGGCTCTGGTTGCTGTAAAACTTGCGCTGAAATTTCTAAAAGTGGAACTCTGCTTCAAATTCACCCCTATAACTGCCAGCCTCGATGAGCTTCATTTGACTGGAGCCGAATGCTATGGCCGCTGTCACACTCCCTTAAGTCCACTTCTTTATACAGTCTATGGGTCTGACAAAAGTGATGAATTTCTTTCCCAAAACTGTATATACAAGTGGACTGAGGCAGTGTGGTCTCTCCCCTTTCCAATCTTCCTGTTTACTGCAACATTTTTAGGACTTTTCACCATTGTAAAACTACTGCAGTCTGATCTTTATTTCTCATCATTCTGAAACCCATGGATGGATAGTACAATAAAACAGTGACAGAAGAAAAGCCAACCATACTCTACCAAATCTTTAAATGCCTTTGGATCAATGGTGCAGATCGTGAGATAGTGAAGCATTGTACTCCGCCCATGAATGGGGAACTCTATCCGCATCAGGACTAGTGCCAGACTGGTGATAGTTAAACATGATACGGTTCTGGCAGGGGCTGTTCTGGTGAAGTCAGCTGTCAGTGAGGAATGTGGGCCCTTGTAATGAAGGCTCAGCTCCACTCGGATGCTCTAGCGCTAACACCATTTAAGCCCCGCCAAATCCGCACCACAGACACATTTTAACTATAGGTTTCAGTGGGTCGTTATGGAAAAGACAGCCGCGCCTCGACCAAATGTGGGATTTCCCTGACAACGTGATACCAGGACATTCCCAAGAAATACAGTTTAGTCTTGTCGCTGCTCAGACAAATGATATAGGTCACACGGCAAAATGGTGGAGCAGGATTGGCTCCCGCCTCACAGCAGGAAGGTCCTTGGACATGGTTGTTCTGTGTGGAGTTTGCTGTGGGTTTCCCCTTGCCTGACCAGCCAGAACCACACATTTGCACAAAACTTTACAAAGACAAGTGGATCTGGAGCCGTATCCTGTCCTGTTTACATGTAAAAAAGGAGATAAGTCTACATAAAGGCCTGAGAAACAGTGCAGACTTTTACAGAATCAACAGCTCAAGCACCACAATATTACTTATTTCAGGTAAAAAATGTTATATATTTTGCTCTGAATGTTACAGGAATTTTGGAAAGGAGATTTCTTTTGCATTTGAGAGACACACAATACAAATTATCAGCTGTAGTTGGATCATCTAACATTTGGACAAAGGTTATTCACACTTTATGGTGCTGTTCTAGTCTCTTCTGGATTCGAAGGGAATGTAGAAGGGACTTGCTGGTCAGTCAAGGTTTCCTCTATATCTGTGATGCCCAACCCCTCGATTTCATTCCACTCGATCTCAGAGGCTGTGGGAGTAGATGCCAAAGCCGTATCAGTTTATATGACAGTTTATATGAGGTTTATTGTGGTGTAAAAGTAAGAGTGGATAAATGCACTCAATGGCTGGTCCACACTAGCGCAAAGTTACCTCAAGTCCTGGGAGTTTTCATGTCTCAAGCCCCTCCCTGCAGCGGTACCATGGTGATCACTTCACCAGTAACTGATACAACAGAAAAGCTACAAGTGCCGTGCTGATAAAACACAAACACACTGGTCAGAAGTTTTAGAACACCACACTTTTTCGTTTCGTTTTTCTTTGTTTTTTACAGTTTACTGTTTACTGTTGACCAAAACGTATTCTTAACTTTTGATTCATGAAAGTGTCCACTTTAGGCAGATAAAACAGCTGAACACACTCATTCTTTTTACAATAGAAATCAAATATTCTTCAGAAAGGTCTTTCCAAGTCTGTTGCAGAAGTTTCCATAAATGTGTGGCACTTGTAGGTTGCTTGGCTTTTACTCTTCTGTCCAGTTCATCCCAAACCAGCTCGATGGGATTTAAGTCTGGAGACTGTGATGGACACTCCATGTTTTCAAGCTTCACCATCTTGTTCTTTTCTCCTGAGATAGTTTTGGCAGAGTTTGGAGTCTTTTTTTAACCTCTGGCTGTTCAGTACTTACCTTTGTACCATTTCAAGTTATTCATTTAACTTGCACGACTTGAATTGGAATAAATAACTGGAAAAATTTGGGTATTCTAAAACTTTTGACTGGTAGTGTATAAGGCAGTGTTCAACAGCAATTTAACCAGAACAGAAGAAACTGGTTGGATGAGCTGCAAAATGTCTTCACTCAAAAAACTTTGCCGTTGACAGAATTTAATTTTTCTTTTTCTATTCTCGTAAGTATTATTAAATAGAAGGCAAGTTAATTCTTGAAGCTGAAACATGTTCCACTCCCAGTTTTGAGTTATATTACAAACCGTCAGATCTGATTCTTCTGTTAACTGATTATTCTTGTTATCTGATTTTGATGCCCACATAATGCACCCATTGACAGCTTTACCTGCCAGGCTACCACTGTCTAAGCACCAGAGAGGATCTATTCATCGCACCTCATTTATCCTTCTTGAACTAAAACCAAACAACACTATTACATAAGCTTTTACTGAATACAGCTGATTGCGATGGAAAAATATGGCTTGAAAAATCCTGCCTTTTACCGTGTCACAGTGGCCCCCATCTGTCCCACTTGGAGTCATTTGTATGCGATCTGAATAGGCTTTGATTAGCTTATGGTGGGCTTCTGGGGGCTTTATACTGGCTCTATGAAGCAGGCTCGCTTTCTGATTGAAACCCATTGTGTACAGTTGATTCTCTGGATTACTGTGGGATTTGTTACTGTTCCCACCTGTTTAATTACAACGCTTTAGACTGAAGCAGGCAATGCAACGGAAAGGCCAGAAGAACAGTATTAACTCGATCACTCACAAGGGAAAACTTTGAAGCCACTGCTACTTTATTCATTTGCTTGATAGAAGTTGTAAAGTTTTTTTTTTTTTTTTATTGTCAGTTTTCTAATTATCTGTAGGATTGGTATTCTTTGGGAATATCAAATTAGTTTTTTAATGACCTCATAAAGTGCGATTTGACTTTAAAGCTTATTTTATCTTCTGAAATTGTAGTATAAAATTGCTTTCTATTATTGGTGGTTTTCAGATTGTAGAATGTGATGAGTGATATGATGTGTCACACTCCCAGATGGGGGACAAGAGAAAGTTTTCCCTATTGATAATATTGTACTTTATATGAAATATCCAAAATGTATATTCACAAATGTTCAACCTGATTATTTCTATTAGAGACAAGACTCAAGAATTCACCATATTACAACACAAATTTCCATTTTAACAATATTAACCTTAACTGACCCCATGTGTATTAAATAGTATTGGCCTATAGAATGAAGATTGACCAATATTTGTACTTTTTAATCAATTGGCTATTGACCTTAAATCTCCAGTACAGGCGGAGTCTTACTTTGGCTGACCTGCTGCCTAAAGTATAGACATAATGCTTCAGTTGAACATTTTAATGCGATGATAACTGCTGCTCTCTTACAGATTTATCATTTTAAAAAGTGACTGAGTTTGTAGTCATTTAAATTACTGTTCATAATTTGGGGAAAATAATCCAGATCAGCCCTTCATATTGGCCCCAAAATGTCAGCAGAGCTTATTGGCCCTCAGTTTCTGTTGAGCCTAAACAAGTGATATCTGCATCTGCCATGAAAATCTGTCCATCTCTACTATAGAAAGCTGTGATGTCATTTGAAACCCAGAAGTAGATCATAACCAATCTGTAATAAGCTATAGCTATAAAAGTAAGGCTGGTGCGCTGTTGGCATGCTTGTGGCTGTTGAATTACCGTGAAGACAAAACTCTGCTGTGGCTCCTAAAAGCTGTGAAAAGCACTTTTAAACCCATTGCAGTGAATAATTAGGATGCTAGTAATGCGTTAAGAAAGTGAGAAGGGCCTGCGTTTGGAGCTCTGCAAACTGTTTTGTTTTTTTAAAGTGTTCATATTATGTTATTTCAGAGCTATATTGTGTACTTGGAGTTGTGCTCTACTGTGTTTTTAAACTAAGCACAAGTCCAAGCACCTTCCCTAGAATCATTTGGATAATGTCAACCCTGGAATGAATGAAATAAATGAAACAAAACACAACTCCATGTATGTTTCTGTTGAGGTAACAACAAGCTCACAAATATAATATATAAAAAAGACTGTAAAACTGTGAAAATAATATGCAACATCTCCTTTTTTATTTAGTTTTCTTTTTTCCCCACAAAACTCATACTTCAGTAGCATATTTATGTAATTTATAACTACTACTACCAACTATGACCACATGTATAACCCTGTATAAACCCTGTAATATTTTAGTTTTCACCCTACTAAATTGTATATCTGCCCACTGCACTTAAAACCTTATAATCATCACTATGTTTTGGTCTGTTTATTCAGATGGACCCGGTGCAGAAAGCGGTGATCAACCACACGTTTGGAGTCCCTCAACCTCTCAAGAAGAAGCAAATTATCTCCTGCAACATTTGCCATCTGCGTTTCAACTCAACGGTAAGAAAAACCCATTAAATGTGATGAGAGGAGCAGCCAGAGCAGGCTTCCAGGACGGTACAATTTAACATGAAAGAAATCTCAAGTGAGGAGTGAGTGTTCCGTCTCCAGACATGTCTTTGTTCGGCGGCCAATGTTGTGTTTTGAAAATGTCTGTCTGTCAGTTACATTGCTTTTATCATGCTTTTAAATGTTACCCTATGCTGTGTGTGTGCGAGTGTGTGTGCGTGTGTGTCTGTGCTGGCCCGTTATTGAGGTGGTGAGTGTAACCAAAATTTGCATTTAAGTTACAAGTGACAACAGAAAGCTGAGCTGGTATATACTTAGTTTTTAGCATAGTATTAAAGCAAGTTGGCAATATGGCAATAGCCCAGTTATTACATTATAAGTTATTACACCAAGGAGTATGGTACTCCTCCTTAATACTTGACTTTCCATGCATCTTTGAAGGACCTAATACACCCATTTCACAATTTTACAACAAAACTCAGACAAATTTTGCATGCTAACGGTGCACTTTCTAGTTTGCTGAAAATAACAATGCTTTATAATTAGATGCAAACAGTACACAGCTTTATAAAAAAAGGGATACAACCCCTGCAATTGTCCCTCCAACTATTGTATAATATAATGCATAGTCTCATGATCATATGCAAAAAGATAGCAACTTCGTGCATCTTTGCTATTTCCCCAATCATTTATTTCTTTGTTATCAGTATTTGTGGAAGAATGCGTTTTGTTTTGCTTTGGGGAGATAGCCGTGTTGTTTGGGTCTGAAGGATTAGACCACAGGGAGGACCAGCGTTTATCTCCCAGAGCAGAAACAATCAAACTAACACAGCCAGACCCAGCCTCTGTTCCTCATTCAATTTCCACTGACTCGACAGGCCTAGACCAGCCAACATATGCAAATCGCTGCCAACTATTGTTTATCAATGTGGGGGGGGGGTTACTCCTTTCGTGGGGTGAAGGCATTTTAGTCTTATCAAGCCTGGTTTTGTTGAGTTTGGATTTTTTTAGCTGAGTTTAAAGGTCCTATATTACGTAAGTTTGACTCTTTTGAGCTTTAAGTCACCTTATAATGTTGTTACCTCCTCAAAAACATACCTGGAGTTGTGTTTTGTTTCATTCACACCTGTGCATTCCAAATCGGAAGAGAGTATGAGTACTCTTCCAGCTCCATTGACTCTGTTTCCAATTGACTTTACACTAGAAATTGTCACTCCTCTATCTGTAATTGCTGCTGTGAGCCTTGCCATTTCAGTTTTAAAATGTCTGAATTAACTTGCTGTATATGATCTTGGTGTTTTTATTTCGCTATTTTGTCCATAAATATAGTCCAATTCCTTATATGGAGCTTAGCATCAGATTCGCCCCTATAATCACTAGCATTGTGAGCTTCATTTGACTACATTTGGAGCTGAATGCTGTGGGTGACATCACACTCCCTTAGTCCAGTTCTTTATACAGTCTATGGCAGTGTTTCCAAAATACTGGGTGACCCTCAGGTGGGTCACGAGAGATTTTTTTGGGGTCGCCTTGTCATGATCTGCAAGTAGGTCTGCAATACAAATAGGTGACTTAGGGATCCCTTTTATTGCTGGTTCAATGACTGTTTTTCATTATTTAAAACTTGAGTAATACTAATTGTTCAGAGAGACACGATCACTCAGTCAACAATAAAATATTCTCATTAATGTTCAATAATGATCAAATTTACTTTTTTTGTGATTTATGAATAATGTCTATTGACTTGTGTCACAAAGATTTGTGACTTTTAAAATATGGGTCCCCAGAGAAAAAAAAAGGGAAACACTGGTCTATGGTCATAGTGGAGCACTTCCTGTATTACCTTATGACATCACAAGGTGAAACAGAGTGTTTTCTGTGTCAGCTTAAATGTGCAGGGTTTGTATGTTTAATGTGTGAATGAAACAAAACACAAGTCCACGCATGTTGTGATGAGGAGACAACATTATAACATAGATCAGGAAATAGAGTATTATGGGATGTTTAAATCCACCTGTCACTCACACAGAGTCTGATCGAAGCTGAGCAGTAGGAGGAGTGGGTGCAAAGAAGATTAGATTATGAATATATCTGTATTAAACAGAAAAGTGCTGAATCATGATTAGACCATTTCTATAGCACAGGGCAGGTGTGGCCACAGTAGCTTATCACAACTGAGTATGGAGAGAATAAATAATGCAAGACATTGTAAAATAACTTATTTTGAGTGTCTGGAAATGTGCTTCATAATTAATGCATTTTTCCTTTTCTTTTCAAAAACACATATTTTCTATTTTTATGCAGATTTTAAGAATGACACCCCTAAACAAACATACAGCATAAAATAGCAATGAAAGCCTTAAGACCTTCTAGATGTGGGAATAATAAATTGACTTTAGACTTTCACTCGCTTACGATTTTCTGGTTAGAGTCTTCAAAGGAATGCAGACACAGGGGACATGGAGCTAAGGCAAAACTTAACTGAGCTCCTCCAGCGTTAAGACAAAAGTATACAGGTTTGACTGGGTTTCTGTCTCTACGTGAGCGCTGACACTTTACCAGCACAACCCTGAATTCTCAAGAGTCTGCCTCTAACATTATAAGCTACTTCTCCCTTTTGCGTAATGTAGCTGTTCCCATGGGAGCTGGAAATACATGCTGTGGTTTTCAATGGTTTAAATGCTTAGCAGGGTCGGGTCGGGGCTCGGAAATCACTTGACATGAGTATGGAGAGCTGTTCCTTGAATTGTAAATCTTGCATGGTACAATAAGATAATTATTACTAGTAGTAGTAGTAGTAGTAGTAGTAGTAGTAGTAGTAGTAGCTAGTAGTAGTAGTAGTAGTAGTAGTAGTAGTAGTAGTAGTAGTAGTAGTATCAGCATCTGTAGTATTAGCAGTAGCAGTTGTAATAGTAATTATAAATCTTGCATGGTACACTAAGATAATTAATAGTAACAGTAGCAGCAGTAGTTGTAGTAGTTAGTAGTAGTTAGTAGTAGTAGTAGTAGTAGTAGTAGTAGTAGTAGTAGTATAGTAGCTGCAGAATCTGTACTAGTAGTAGTAGTAGTAGTAGTAGTAGTTCTAGCAGCATCCGTACTAGTAGTAGTAGTAGTAGTAGTAGTAGTAGTAGTAGTAGCATCCATAATAGTAGCAGTATTATTAGTAGTAGTAGTAGTAGTAGTAGTAGTAGTAGTAGTAGCAGCATCCGTAGTAGTAGTAGTAGTAGTAGCAGCATCTGCAGAAGTAGTAGTAGTAGTAGTAGTAGTAGTAGTAGTAGTAGTAGTAGTAGTAGTAGTAGTAGCAGCATCCGTAGTAGTAGTAGTAGTAGTAGTAGTAGTAGTAGTAGTAGTAGTAGTAGTAGTAGTAGTAGTAGTAGTAGTAGTAGTAGTAGTAGTAGTATAGTAGTAGTAAGCAGTAGTGGTAGCATCTGTAATAGTAGCAGTAGTAGTAGCATCCATAGTAGTGGCAGTAGTAGTAGTAGCAGTAGTAGTTGCAGTAATAGTAGCAGTAGCAGCAGTGGTAGTAATAGCAGGCATAGTAACAGCAGGAGTAGTAGTAGTAGTAGTACTAGTAGTCGTAGTACCTTTATACTATTTGTCAGCACACATTAGGGACAAGTTAACATTATCACATCATGATATGAGTTGTCATGAATAAACCTCCAGTTTGTTTGTGTGAAGCCTGGAGGAAGAACAAAGAGGAAATGACCAGATTAGATGTTATAGGATCTACTGATAATGTGCATCCTCATTGTCTTGGTTCAGTTACTGTGTTGCACAAAAACTGAATGGACTGTAACATTAGGTGCACTATGTAACTTTTTCTTATGAAGGATACCCCTTTTCTCCATGGACATGTTATTGCTTTACCTGGAATATTCCTCAGTATGGCTTTACACCTGCCATTACCTGCCTTGCATGTATTGAACTACAGGTCTATTTATTGCTCAAAAAAACCTTAAATGGCATACATTTTTACTCACCTCTTCATAGATCTGATCTGTGTTGTCCTGGTGGCACAGATAGGTTAAATGCCATACTGTGGAACATTGCAGTCAAAGCAAAATACATCTCCATGGAGACAAGGATGTGGTAGACAACATTTTTGTAGTGCACCGCTTAGAAAGAGCAGTGTTTGGAAGATAACACAGTTCACAGGAAGTTTGTGTTCTTTTCTCAGCTTTTTGACTACTGTTCACAACTATTTCAATTTTATTTATTTTATTTACAATATCTTGCCTACCTCTGTGTCAGGTTCAAAAGATTTCAGCAGCTGCACTTTCACCTCTTCTGTCCGGCAGATTAACTGTGTTACAATGTTAACTGGCCCTAGATCAATCAGTGGACGATCAATAATCCCTTTGGAGACTGTTGACTGTGTCCAGGTGCTGTTCGCTCCTGTGAAGACTGAAGCTTGTTTCACACCTTTTCCACTGGCCGAGGAGAGGAGAGGTTTTCAGGAGCGGGGGCTGTTTTTGTCTCTTGGAGCTAATCTCTGTATCCTCGTCACAGAGCATCAGTCTCACCAAACGCAGGCTTGTTTTTGGGACTGTTTAAAGGACTGCTCCAAATCGCACCATTAGTTTCAGCTATGCAAAAGTGTAGTAGGGTTTATTTTACACTGAGCTTGGTTGGCAGCAGTTTAAAGGTGCATTTTGTAACTTTTCTGGTGGAGGGTTGGTCGCCCGCTTGTTTCTATGGATATGTCATTGTTTCACAGTATGACATTAAACAGCTCTACCTTATATTTATTCAATTACAGGGGCTTTTATAGCTCAGAAAATACTAAAAAAAAAAAAACAGGCATTCTGACTGTGAGCAGGGTTGCCGCTCCACAGATCTGACCTGTAACTTGGTCTGGATTGGTCCACAAGAAGATAGAAAGGTTTAATGCCATATTCCATTCCAGGCAACACAATAACATCTCCAAGAAGAAAAGCATTTGAAGGACCCTCCACCAGAAAAGTTACACAGTGCACCTTTAAGACTTA